CTGCAATAACCATGCGAACCTTACTTTTGTTGCAGAAAGTTCATCCGGATGTGCGGCTGTTGACTTGCCTGTGACGTATATAAGGCTGGTCGTCCACACAACAACTGACAGACCTAGCCATTAGAAAGCAGCAGCATCGTCTTCACTTACATTATTCTTGTCTCACGAATCCCAACTTTCATTAACCATGCATAAAACGTACCTCTTCTCGTCCATGTTCTTCCTCACTTCGGTCTTTGCAGTGCCGGGCGAGTTGATCGAGCGCCAGTCGGGTTGCACAACAAGCACTCTCGCGGGCAAATGTACTATCCCTGGAACGTCGAACAACTTCTTCTGTCAGGTTGGGAGCCCGGCGTGCTCTGGAGGGTTGACCACAAAGGGCAGCATCAAGATTACGAACTGCTCTGGGCAAGGAGCGGCTTGCACGGCATCCGTAAGTCATATCCAGTCGTTCGCTTTAGATTAAGAATAAGCACTAAAAAGCTGGTAGCAATTATGTTGCCCTCCATCCAACGAGGATTGATCGACGCAGAGTTCTGTGAAAGCAGGTCCTAAGTAGAGGCAGGAAAATAGAATCAGAAACACATACATCAAGCAATGATCTGGCTGAGATTTACTTTACAATTGAGGATATGATGAAATATAAGGAGTGACTCCTTTCAAATACTTACAGATACACTAGGCATAGATACACTGGGCATAGAGCCCCCAGCGCTTCTTTATCAACCATTTCATGTTCATCTTCTAAACTCTCGTAACCCTCTCTGGCTCAGTCTTGTATTTCTTATGCCTTATTCTATTGGGGAGTAAATATATTCCCGGATGAGCTTGATCAAACTTGCTCCAGCCTTGGTCAAGCAGACAACAAGATAGACTGCTCATTTATTTTCCTGGTCTTGACTGTACGAAACGGCTACTTATCATAGTGATTGGAGACCCCTTTATGGGCTAGGCGTTTGGTGCTTCTTGTCACGAAGTTCCCTGCTCTGTCTAGCATCAGCCCTAGATGGCCCATAGCATTGTAGATGGTCCATCCAAGGCTTCACGCAACTCTGAGAAATCTAGCCTACGAATTTCGCAGCTGTAGCTTATTCGGTACGACTTGGATAAAAGGCTCTGTCATACCGTGCCTCCCCGTTGTTAACATCCGCCCAAACGCGCTGCCCCTGGGGGTTGCAGAACGGCACATCCTCTCAGCTCCCAGGAGAAAGCTGGCCACATTTGCTTCAATCTTTAATAGCCCATCCTCGATGAAACAAGCGTAAAAGGCGGGTGACGGGTTCCTGCCAGCATTGTCGACGGGGCAGCCGAGCCACCAAGTCCAATCTCCCAGAGCCTCAAACTCAACCACATCAAATATTTCAACTGCGCAAGGTCCCAGAATATTTTATTTCAGTAATTCAATCAAAGAAGAGCATCCGGGAAAATTCGTAAACATGAAATGGATATCGGAGTGTTGCTGTGAGTGGAGCCTCATCGCGAGTATGCCCCGCCAGCCCTACTTGGTCCACCTCATCGCACACATCCGCCACATACCACCATACCCATTGGAAAACTCGGGATCCCGTCCGCTCTCCCATAGATAGCCCAATGAGGGCTGGAGTAGTAGTCGGGTCGGTGACGACCGGCGAATGCCCGGTGTTGTATGTTTTTTTGGTGTTTTGTTGTGATCCTTTGTTCTCTGGTACATGTGGTTTGAGCATGCTGGACTGCCCAGTGATAGCACTATTGTAGGTATTAAACAAATTCCTAAGAACAATACTGACAAGTCTAAGGTGTCTGTGCCCTGAACGTGGATAATGAGCTGTCTAATAACAACAACTCCGGACTTGTTCTGTTTCCATGAGTTCCTGGCTTCATCTCAACTTCCTCGGAGCTACTCGGGTTCATGTGTTGTCGATTGCTTCACTCAAAGTCCATAGACCTCATCACCCCTTTCAACCCATTGAGAAACTCAGGATCCCATCCACTCTCCCATAGATAAGCTAGTGAGGGCCTTACATTCAGACAAACCCTCATAGGGAACTGAACAGACTCGCAGACTGTGCCATAGCATTGCCTAGTCGAACCGATTTCTGTTCACCTTCATCTCACACATTTCTCATGCCGTAGGACATATTTTCTGATGTTGCAACACACATTCCTCATGTTGCAACACACCGCTATGCCTAGTCCTCTTGCGAGCCCTCAAGCACTCCGTCTCTTATGGAGGCTCCAGGGTACTTTGGCCGAGAGCATCTTCGTCGTGCGGAACTGGGACACCTCAGACCCTCCGCACGAACCCTTCGCCACTCGGAACCTCACAGGCAACATTTCGTGGCACGCCATCTCACAGGAGTCACTCACGGAACCCAAGATCAAGAATATAAGCGTACATTTCGATGTCCCAAAGCGCTAGCAGGGCGAATGGATTGAGTGGCACTTGCGACATGCTAGTCCTGACGACGACAACTGCGTCTATGGAGAGCTGCTGGACCAACTTCTTGTGAGACAGAGTGCAGCAGCAGCAAAGGAGACGAAGAAGACGAAGAAGACGACAATGGCGACGTGAGAGAGCTCTTGCACTGCTGCGATACTGACCGGCCCAAACGAGCACTGCCCCTCGTCATCGAGGCGTCCAACATCGAATATTTCACGACTCACGGTTACGTCTCGGCGCTGCATCCGTGGCTTATGGGCCTGCGGCAGGACATCACACGGGTTGACAACATGATGGGCAACAGGAAACCCGAGGAGTACAAGCACCTGTTGGTGGATATTTCTAATCCATTGTATCTGAGCATCATGGACGAGAAGCGTTTTCTCGGGTACAGGTACACGGGTCCGCCAGTCCAGATGCCCATGAGCCAGGAGAATGCGTACTTGTTGAGTGTCTTGAAGCTTGACATTTCTCCTTGGAGGAATATCCCACATGCAGATGGCGATTCTGTATGATTTACCTGAAGAATGGCGAGATATATATATAGACTTTGGAGAACGAGACAAATTCTAGTTGACCGTGGCACCAAGTCGCCCGCCCTCCACTCATCCATCACGCTCGTGGCCCAGTGGCTGATGCCAACAACCACGCACCAGGGTTTTCTGGATGGAAGAGGTCGAGACAATGGCTATGTGGCATATTAAATGACAGTGTTCACATCTTGCTCTCCGTGCTTGATCTTCCGCGCTTTCCACTCCGCGCTTTCCACGGATGGCATGGGCGCATGGCTGAGCCTCCCTCTACACCTGTTCCGGCAAAGGAAATTCTTGGCGAACCATGACTTGGTAATGAATCAGGCGGCAGATGCTAAAACAACTTGCTCTTGGTGAGAATCATGGATAAGTGAGAATCTCGCCGGTACAACATCATTTTAATTGACTTTGGACGTTGCGTTAGGGTGACAGCTCCACACAAGACAGCAGCAGTCTCCAAAACTCCTGCCTCATCTGTTGACAAGTATGACTCGTGGTTCCTTTCAGACGTATGATCGTCTTGAATGCACCGAGAAACTGACTGGACATCAAGACATTTAAGGTCATTTCCATCCCCTCTTCCCAGGGCTTGAACTTGACATTGCCTTATTCTTCAGTCCCTTTTCCATCTCCTTCCCAACCAAATTCAACTTTCCAATCATCAAATCAGCGCCTGTAAGTGTTGCTGTTCCAGAATGTTGCGTTCCCTGCTGATAGCGCCGCCTCAGCCGCGTCTTCACCATGCACTTCACCAGCTTTCTTCTTGCCGCCGCCACCGCGTTCTGCGTTGGGCCTTCTTTCGCCTCAGCCGAGTGCACCAAATTCACGAACGGACGGGTTTGCAGTGCTCCGTTTAGATTCACTTGTGATGGAATGGGTACTGCGACCTTGACCTGCTGTACTGGAGTGGGCGATGCGGATTGTCGGTGAACGGAGAAGCTATGGGCTTGTTGGGACACGTGAAGTGAACAGTTGGTCCACATCGCGTAGTACAGTAAATATATACACATACCACCGCAGATACCCCTGATAGCTTGATTGTTGCTACGGCCATCTGCTTCTAAGGTTCTGATGGTGTATCAAGTTGCTGATGGCATCGCGAATGTATTCAATGAATTGAAACACCCCTTTAGAATGTGATTCAGATACCGGCTTAGCTCTAATGTCACGCTGTGACGTGGACCTCATGCCTATCCCAAGTCCCATCATGAGCGAGAGCCATCTACCCAGCGAACCACATGATAGAGACTTTGCTCCTAACGTAAAAGTCTGATTATTCCCCTCTCATAGGGCAGAGATCTAAAAGATGTAATTGAAACCAGCGTCTATTGCACATGCATCTTCATGTCAAGCAGCATTTCAATAGGAGGCAAATGATACGCATCTCGAAAGAATGCCTGAACGGGGTGCCTCCTCCGCATCCAACTTTCACTCCACAACCACCAGTGCCGGTAAAAATGACCCGAAATGCCATTCAAAGTGACCAATAAATCATGCTGTGAGTGATGCATGAGCCTGAGAGGTGGAGTTGAGTTGCCAAGTGTTGGCGTCAACTCTTTTTGGGTGACCGGGGACCAACAAACATCCACTGAGAGTGGGATCGCGGAGTCGACACTTTATTCCCGTTCGCCAGCCTTGCGATGTCCATCAATCGTGAGTACTCAGGATTACCCAGTGCCCAAATAGGCCATTGTTCCCCGTATACATGCCAGAGGAGTCCTGTTTTGGTCGTGATCGTCGTAAATATTGAAACGCCATTCACGGTATCGGCCACTCAAGCCGTGTTAGTGCAGCGTGATACCTTCCCAATTAGAAAGTCTGCATCTGTGCAGGAGCACGAGTAGAGCAGGCATTGGACCGAGTCAAAAGGAAAGCAGGGAGGTGGACTGAAGTTGCTTCGTGGCTATGGAGCATAACACGCATGTTTCCAACTGAAGTAAACCAATGTCGTCTGGCAGTGTATATGGTCTTCCACAACTTGAACCTTTTTATATCTGATAAGAAAGCTCAAAAGAGCTAATGACCGGCTCAAATCATTCACAAACGATATGGCAAAGCAACAAATTTACCAACTTCGCCCTTGCGGGTGGGAAAATGACCCCGAAGAGGAAAAGTTCAAAGTCTCTACGCTCGACTACCTCACAGCGCAAGTCTACTGCAACTATGCCGTCTTCTTCAGGCCATTAGATGAGAAGACGCCTCGAGTTGTCGAGATCCTCAAGGCTGGCCTCGAGCGGACCCTTGCTCAAGCACGGCATATGAACGGCTCCATCGAGAAAGATCCCGAAGGCGGTCACTCCTTCACTAAGAAGAAGGGGAGCACCGTCGCCTTCCATATCAAGTGGCTGGACGACCCTTCCGACGCTGAGAGGTATCCATCTTTCGACGACATCCACAAGGCCAACTACAACGCCGTCATACTCGGCGACCAGAGGCTGTAGAGCATCCCGCCCATGACATACGGCGAAAAGCCTGAAGCCTACCCTGATAACAGCCCCGTAACCTCGGCTTTCAAAGCAAACTTCGTCCGCGGAGGCCTCGTCTTCAACATGCACCACCATCACTACGCCAACGATGTCATGGGCTGGGCCGGCTTCACACACCAACTGGCAGAGAACTGCTACGCCATCGTCCACGGCACGCCATTCCCTTCCTGGGACCCAGCTTGTAACGATCTGTCCCGCCTCACCAAGCCCGATCCTCCTGAAGAGCTCAGAGTTAGCGGTCGGCCCCCTCCAGAGCGTCATCCTGGACACAAAGGCGGCGTCGATCTCCTCTATCATCTCCCCAAGAGCAAGGCTGCGATGTTGAAGGAGCTTGCCAAACCTAAGGACGGCACATGGATATCAACGTACGATGCCTTCGCCGCCTTCCTCTGGCGGCATACGGTGCGTGTGCGGGCCCCAATCTTCGAGACCGACCCGGACTCCAAGATCTTTTGGTGCGAGCCTGTCGATATGCGCCGGCGAATGCATTCCCCGCCGCTTCCAGCTCGCATCCAGCAGAACGTCATGTCCGTGGCTGCCACGGCCAGTCCGCCGGTCGAACAGCCGACTGCGGAGGAGCTTATATCTGAGTGGCCGCTGTGGAAAGCAGCGCGGTACATTCGTCAACTGACTGACAGCGTTACCCAAGAGGGTCTGGACAAGATGCTTGAGCAGGTTGCGCTGGTGCGCGAAAAGGCGACTATGAACATCCGAATCGACTCCTTTCCACCAATGTCTATTCTGCACACGGATCATCGCGATGCCAACATTGTGTCTGCGGACTTTGGCTTTAGGAAGCCTTCCGGGTACAGGCATTTGATGGACCAAGTGACCCAAGGTGTCGTGGTGATCTATCCTCCGCGAGACCCTTCTCTGGAGTCGGATGAGGGCCCGGAGTTTGCAATCTCGTTCGAGAGGGATCTGGCCCACTTGCTGCTTGGAGGGCCGGAATTCAATGAGTATTTCGAGTATCGTGGGGTTGATATCGAGTAGACGTCACTAGGCAGACATGTTACTGGCGGAGTCTGATTTGGGTTTGATCTCGATTATCATCTTGCCATTTTTATCTTAATTTACAAATGTCAACTTTTACTTCCGTGGACTTCTAAGGGCATTGGTCTGCGTATCATGTCGCAATGTTCGCAAATTGAACGACATGAGTTTTTCTCGCTCTCGCAACCTCAGGCTGTGAGGAAAGCCAACAACCAAGAACATCTGAGGCAATTGTTTAGAGATGTGTGCCACTGGATTTCTGAACATGTCACACTCCGTACCAAGGACTTTCATCAGACATCCCTTTTCCGTGAACCGGTGTCTCCAGGATGAGAGAGACACCGAAAATTATGAACATATTTGAATGTCACAAGTCTTTTCCGGGTGATCTCGCCATCCCCCATGTGGCGAAATGCGTCGATTCCAAGCACATACAGTAGTACTGGACACCTTGGAACTGTAGTAGACTTATCGAGCTGGACTACAGATCGAGCATGCGTCGAATACCAAGACGCGGCCAATCTCGCGACATCGCGATCTCACGATCTTTTCTACCGTCAGGCACTGCGGAATGTTTACTATTTGCCGGAAAGGAGAACCGTACTCAGATCATCGAGATTGACCCTGATGGTTGTGGTGTTGAACATTTGAAAGCAAGTTATCACACGATCCTCCCGTATAAACTCACACAAACCGGAAACAGTTAAGACAAGAATCCTCAACACCTCAACCAAAGTCGTCCATCCTCACCCTCAACCTCACGCAATCACCTGAACCTTCCAATAAATCCTCTTCATCCACAAACTCTTCAGAAACCAATCATCCCCAACCTTCTTCCACACCTCGTGGTAATGCCCGGCCCCAGTCGAGTGCAGCCCGTCCTCCGTATCCAGCGCGCCTCCATGGTACACCACCGTGAAGATGGCCTTGACCTCGTCCTCGGCGACCATATCCAGCTCACCAGCGTTCACCATATGGACCGCGTCAATGTGCGCGTTCGTCTTGCTAAAGTGCGCCTGGAACGCGGCGAGGTCGTCGAAAGTCATCTCCGTGTCGCCCTGCTTCACGAGCGCCCCCTCCTTGTCAAAGAACTTGAAGGTCGCGTCAGGGAGGGCGATGCCGTCGAACAGATGCCATTGGTTGGAGTCGGCGAACCGGCAGTACTGTGCCTTCTTGTGACGGATGGCTTCGGATATCTCGTACGGGACCGGCATGATGTTGTGAAACTCAAGAATATGATATCAGTGGTTGCTGCAGGAGCAGATCAGCGAGCGCAATGCAGCGACTTGGTCCAGTGATTTTATTGAACATGCATCTACAGCCTGATTCCAACCCATTCTCAGCATCAACCCGTCTACAGCTCGTCAGTGAGGGGTTGAGCGGGGATTCCATCTTGGCCAGCACCTCAATGAGAGAGCTGTTATCAGATCAGCCCGATTCAAGTAACATTACGAAAAGTCCCTGCAGATAATTGTCCACAGCCTGCTGAAGCTGTCGAAGATCCCATTGCATTCGCACCAATCAAGGCGGACCATGATGACGGATGAAGCTTCTCCATTGGTCGCAGGTGTATCAACCACTGAAGACTCGCAGCTTGACGAATCGTGTTGCATGGTAAGCGAACACGTCTTCTCGCAGTGCAGTGCAGTGCACCCGCTCAACCCGCTTCCCTCTCTGCCAAACAATATCCGTATGCAGCCTGATTCTCTCAATATCAAGGTTCAGTCTGAGTCTCTCAAATGCCAGAGGGTGGAAAGTGCGGTTGCAATATACTCAATCTCCCAAGCGCGCTTGCGGCATCTTCAACGTTCTGTGCCGGACGACGGAACGCGAGTTTCACCGTTTGCATCCAGAGAAATCCGTCGCGGTGGAATTTGTTATGCAGCCGTTTCGGGCCGTGCACAATCTGGTTCCGTCTCTCCGGGTAACTAATCCAGTTGGGGAGGAGCCGAACAAGAGCCGGAAAGTTGGGAAGGAACTCCACATGAAAAAAAAAAAACCGTGAAGAAGGAAGCAAGCAGAAGGGGTAGCTAGGCCCGAAGAGTACCCCCTGCTCCGGGACCCGCAAGCCGCTGCCGGCCCAAATCACATTCAGGAGCTTCCGCGTTTTGGACAAGGGGACCCGGCGGTCTTCTAGAAGCTCTCAATCTCGCCTGGCCTCTTTTTCTTTTCCCATTCTCCCGGTCGGTGCGCCAGCCAGGGGAGGGGGCCAGCGGCGGCCGGGGCAAGGTTGCCGCGGACGGGCAAGCGGGAAGAGCTGGGAGCTAGGGGAGAGCTAGGGATCACAAATGGGCTTGCCAGGCTAAAATCACGAAATCCGCAAAGAGAAAGAAGAACGGCCGACCGGGCGCCTGGCACCGGCGATGGCTGGCGATGGCTGCGATGGGCTTGGCTGGGGGTGTTTTGCAAAAAGAGATTTGGCTCGGGCTTCGCCTGCGGTTTGCGGTTTGGCAAAATAGGCCCTGCGACGACAAACAACCCCCAGGCCCCAGCAGGTCGCCGACGCTTGTTTGGACGCGGCCTTCCTCCCTCAGTTGAAGGGCGGCGGCGGCGGTTTGTTTCTTCGGTGTGGCGTTCGTTTTCGGTGTCGATACCCGTGTTGTGTGGTGTGTAGTCGTCCCTCCCTCCATCCCTCACTTTCGTTCGCTGAGTCGCTTTCGTGTCGTGGAGTTTTGCAATCCCGGTGTGTGATTTTCCGTAGGTACGGTGTACGGTCCACGGATACTGCCACGTTGGTTGAATGGAACGGGAAAGGGCGCGTTCGCAAATGTCAGGGCCGGCGTTTCAATCTGAACTTTTGCACTTGATCGTCGACTCAGTCCCGTCGCTGGCACGGACCGGATGCGACTCGAATGCAGCCGCCGCGCTGGTGCCCGTCAGTCAGGCATGTGTCGGAGTAGCATCCGTCGCCCATTTTCCCATCCATCACCCGCCTCAGGTCGTCTTGTTTAATGGACATGAAACATGGACGAAAAAGGAACTGTGTGTTGGGTGCAGCATTCCATGGAATTTGATGTGCCTGCTTGGCCTGCCTGCCTGCCGCCCAGTCGATCGCCCACGGGCCACTGCCTGTCTGCCCTCCGCTTCCCAATACCCGGAGGCGAAGGGGACTCTTATCCGATTGCTTTGCCCCTGCGTACGCCATTGATGTGGCTTTCCCTTGCATGCCTGCATCATGCCTTTTGCGACTGCGATATGGCGAGCCAGCGGTTTTCGCTGCTGGATATCCGATATTCCCTGCAATGCCGAATCGGGATGGGATAATGCCGTTGACGAAAGGGGACCACTCACAGCGCGAGAAGGCAGCTTTGGCATCTCATTTGGCAAAAGAGGCCAGAATGCGAGAATCACGAACGCTCCGTTTCGGTTGGCTTACGACGCAAACGACGGAACAACAAGAGACGGGATGGGTGGCTGTTGGTGGTGGTGCCGTCGTCGCAAATCGCGTTCAAGGCCCAATCCGAACTCACCGTTTGATGGTCAATGGGTGTTTGTGCGACTGGGGTAGCGGGGAAGAGACGGGGAAGAGACACAAGCAAAGCAAAGACAGGCACAAGCCGAACACACATGCATTCGTTCGCTCTCAACGGCTTTTTCTGCTTGTTCCTTCTGCCTGCGGATTCGGTATCCTTCTTGGCTGAGGTGAGGTAAGCAGGCAAGCGGCAGAAATAATCGGTCAAACAAAGCAAGTGGGAAGTGATTTACGCCGTTCTCGTCCCAACACACCCACACCCTCACCCTCTACACCCACCAACAACCGACGGCCAACAGCCATGGCGATCCGGGGTAACAAAGGTCGGCGGTGGTGGTGGTACCGTCTTGGAAGGGCAGTATGTAATCCGGCGCGCGCCACCCCCAGTCTGAGTCAGGCCGGGGAAGCACTCGCCTCGGGTCGGGCTGAGCTCCCAGCCAGTCACCTCGGCCGGATTTCGCTGCGGAGAGAGGGATGTTGTTCAATGGTAAGTAGCCGAGTGTATGAATAGTACTCTGCATGTAAGAGGTGAGAGTAAGGTTGTATAGGCGCAGGGCGGTAAAGTGCCCGTACGGATATACTGCGTCGTCGGCGTTGTCGAATACGTATCGATATGGTGGCTACGGATACCTTACCTTACATCCAGGTGTAAGGCGGTCAACAAGTGTGCAGCTGTCACCGCCCCTCCCTCAGGTTTGCCTTTCGCTACTGCTGGTGCTGCTTGGTGTGTTGTAACGGTGTTTGAGTCGCATCGCATCAGTATTGGCATGGGAATTGTCATTAGACGGCCAAGGTGTCAACACTCGAATTCGGAAACATTGGACGTTGGGGGGCAAGCTAGTCAGCCAGCATCCAGCAGGCAAGGTAATCAGAGTCAGTCAGGATTCGGATTCAGCGAGAAATAGGCAACGCAACCCATCCTATACGAACGGATGGATTCGTAAGTTTCTCGTCGTCGCATCTTGTGGAAAAAATAGGCGGATGCGGGATCATGGTTGCGCGTGTTCGTACGAAGGAGGTTCCCTTCAGCAGTTCAGGGGTGTCAGAGGTAAGGTAGGTAAGCAGATGCCTACGGATACGACAAGTTGTCGGTGGTTGTCTGGAGGAATGGAGGAATTTCGGGCATGCGACGGAATTGCACAGGAGGGAGACAAACTGCTTCGGTCGCATCGTTGCATCCGGGCCATCCATCCAAGCCAGTCGCATTCTCAAGAATGATTGTCCTGAATCATCCCAAACCTTGTGGTGTGGCTTGAGGGGTTGGAATTTGCTGCCCTGTCCCGAGGCGGGCGATGAATGCCATTGCTGCGGTGATGAATGGGTTTGATCGTGATTGATGGCTGCCGCGCCCACGCCCCCTGGCAATCCGAGCTCTCTCGCTTCGCTTCGGTGAGCCTTGTCGACGACGACGACAACGACGACGACGACGACGACGACAGGCACACCTCGTGGAAGAAAGAAGAAGCGCCGCAAATGATCAGGATCCATGCCCTCGCCTCGTCCTGCCCTGCCCCGGCCTTGCCATCTATCTACGCCTGACTCCGGGCACCTGGGACACCACAGCTTGGGACACATCCAGCATGATTAAGATGAGATGCCGGGGTAGCACGGCCTGGGGTTGACTGCTGCGGTCGCGACAAAAGCGACCGAGGTCGACGAAGGCGGGAAAAATGAACCTCGCAAGAAATAAATTGGATGCCGAAAAAAACAAAAGACCAACAGCAGCCAAATTACCTGAGACAGACCCCCGGGGGACCCAACCCGGCGCAGCGGGTTGGATGGGGCAGGTGAGAAGTGAGAGACAACGGCCGTGAGCCGGGGGTACGGAATTGTTTTTTTTCGTCCCTACTCTCCCGGTTAGGGCACGCCATGATTGCTTTTTGCTAGCCCCCGTCTGGCAATCTTGGGAAAAAAGAAAGAAGAAACCGATTTTGTGTGTGCGATTTCGCCGCTCTCGTTTGTGACTGGAGCGGGATGGGCGCGGATGCAATGCGATGCGATGCGCCGCGCGGGGCGCCAGACACGGCGACTCGACCTCAGCCCTGGACGGGAGTCGGGACGGTGTGCTGGATGCAGCCACGGCAGACGGGCTGGCACACCTACTTTTGCACTGCATAGTAGGTATTTTGAAGGGTTCATTTTGGTGGCTGACCACTGCAGGTGTGGTACAAGTACAAGGCCGTAGGGCAGATGTTGGTGTTTGGTGTTGGGACAGGAACAAGAGCAGACGTAACCATCCATCAGAGTTGACCGGCGGCGGTGAATCACCGCCGGTCGCTCGCACATTGAGTCTTGCGCACCTCAGTGTTGTAAGTTGCTTGTTGGGTTGGTTGGCAATGCGTGCGTGCGTGCGTGCGCAAATGGGACGGAATGGAATGGCATCCATCCTCTCGCTGTGGTTCCCCGAATGCATCTGTTGTCGCGCAATTGCGCTTCGTCCTCTTGTCCCCCTCCCCGGTCGGCCCCCGGTGGCCCCCTCCCCCCTTGAAAGAGGGGCCTATTGACGCCCAAAGGAAGGGAACAATTTGAAGCTAGAACCTGACGATCCACGGCTCCTCCTCAGAGAGAGAAGAGGAGTGAGGGGGTGTGTGATGGTGACCACGAAGCACGAGAGCAAGGCTGGCAACAAGCAACAACAACCTGAAGAAGCTGTTTGAGGTGAGCTGGTGAGGGGTGTGTACGACAACCAACGACGTGGACAACAACATGACTGACACGACAGGTACAATCAGAAGCAGACAGTCACAGAGCCCCCCTCATTTCAATTACTCGGTGAAGGTTTGCGATTTCAGCGAGAGATGAACGATTGGGGGGATGTCCAATGGGATTGGCATCGTCGGCGAGGAATTCCTGCGAGAGTTACGCGCAAGTCGCAAGCCGCGCAATGCTATGCCGCGAGATAGTGCGTAAAGGGCAGCGAGAGAAGGGCCATGGCCTGGATGCCAGAGACTGGACGGACATGCACCGAGCGCACCGAGGCCTGGTCTGGCCTGGCCTGGCTACCTTATCCGCAGAGGTATTGCCCAGCTAACGGTCGCTGGAATCTACTGCTGCGGCAAGTACCTGCCCGTGATGGCTGGCCCGAGGGCCGGGGCAGTCCAGATTGTGCTCCCGGGGGACAGGGCATTCAAGGCCCGCCGTGAAGAAGAAGAAAAGGGAAGGCCAGAAGCTGTGGACACTGCGCCTGGGGGGGCCTGGGCGAGAGTCTGGAGGCGGGAAGGAGGACCTGCCGCTGCCGTTGCCGCTGCCGGGACGGTTTTTGGCAGGCATTGGCAGAGGCCCCGAGCAGCCAGGCCCTGAGAAAGAGAAAGAGAAGCAGGGCCCCCAGGGCGGTGGGCATCCCGCGGCTCGCTAGGAAGAGGGCCCCGGGAGAGACAGCAGCAGTCAGTCACTGTGAAGACGGGGGCCTTTGGGGCCTTGGGACCTTTGGATGGGGGGCCCGGGGGGGGCCTGAGAGGTGCTTGATGGACCATGGACCATGGACCTGCCTCACTGTGATGAGTGCCTCCTGGGCTCCTTCCCTCCAAGGGAAAAAGGAAGAGTCATGATCCATCGCAGAGGGGGTTGCTCTGCAGCCAATCAATCCCGACACACCTCACTCACACCTCCCCCCCTCCCGACAAGGCGGTCAAACACCGCTCATTCTTTTTCCGTTTTCTTGGTTGCTTTTTGCGTGGCTGCTGCCGCTCTGCCGCAAGTGAGCTGCTCCCGCTGCTTCCCCGTATGCGGCCTCGCTCCGTTTGTCTCATCCCAAGATTCTGCCAGGCTCTTGGCTCAGGCTGGCTGCCAACCGAACCCGTCCCTGACTCTGACTCTCTATCTACGTCTCCCTTCAGCGCATCTCGGAAGCCCTGAGCAGCTTGGAGGTGCAGTAGCAGCCTGTAGGGAGGACCGTGTTTGTCCCTGCGGCGTGGGGGAACAATCAGCTACACAGCTGCGACTCACCAAAACGGTGTTTTGCGCTGCAGATGCCAGCTGGAATGTCGTCTCCCTGCGTACGGATACCTGCGATAAGGTACCCATCACGAACTCGACCGCGACCTGGACCGCTTGCACACGGATTCTGGCCCGTCCGTTCGCATTCCCCCGACCTGGCGATTCAGCTCTGTTTGCGCCATGATGTTCGTTTGAGCCATCAACAAGAGAAACAAGAGAAGATGCCCTCCTCTGCGCTGCCACTATATTAATCATGACTCTTTCGCCCTCACGTCCGAGTCATCTTGTTGTTTCGCTCTCCCACCAGAGTATCAGCACCAGCAGCAAATCCAGTATCATCAGCGTCATTGCAACCATCACAAGTCAGCGTCGCCCGCGTCGTCGTCACCAGGCATACAACCTCCCGCCGTCGCCGAATTACACATCAACACCACCACCAGGAGAGCAGGATTTCCATCGTTCCGCCCGTATCCTACAATTCGGACTTTCAGCGACTCAGAACCTTCCTTCCGTACCTACCGGCACCGTATTTACAGGTACGAATCGGTCGCTCGCTCAGCTCAGCTCCAGCTCCTCGGCAACGCCACGTCAAGAATAGTCACCAGCCAAGGTCGCCGTCCAACCCAAAAGCAACGCGTTACGCCGACTCTACCGTTCCACCCAGCAAAGAAACGGACTACGGACTTCCTCCCGCGCGCCGCCCAGCCAGCCCTGTCTCTGTGTCCAGGGCCCCCTCCGTCTTTACGGCGTTTTTACCACCGACACGCCCACCTTTCACAGCTGTGGACGGTGACACCCCCTGACACGCCCCCCCTCAACGACAACTGCAACCGCTTCCGCCCCGAGCAACCCCCCAGGCCCAGCCCAGACTCCCCTGCGCTGTCAGCTCCCACTCCCCATCTCCGTCACCGCCTCCCTGCCTTGTTTTCCCACCCCCTCGGGATCCCGGGAATCACTGTTGCCCCCATCTTTTAGGCTTGCAAAGTCCACTCTCCGAAATTCCTCGGAACGTTACCCTGCCCAACCTTGCACCTCCTGGGCCTCACCACACCCCCTTTCACACCCCCCAAACCAGAGGCAGGCAGACGCGCCTCTGGCTTATAAGTCTGCCGTGTCCACCTTCTCCCACACTCTTCCACCGAACGCGAAATCATCGTCGATATCAACACTCAACACTCAAGACCAACTGGTCCCAAGAGAAGAACAACTCCACTCTTCACACAACACATCACAGCCATGTACGGCTCATACGGTTCATACAGCTCCATGGGCGCCATGTCCATCTCGGCCCCCATCGACATCGGCTCCAGCAACATGCTCGCCCACGACCGCTCTTGCGCCTTCCCTTCGTGGCCCCGCCGCGAGACCCTCGCCGACTTTGACGGCGAGCCAAGAGCGACCTCTTACCTCTCCGACGAGGACCTCTTCCCTCAGGACTTTGAGGACGACGCCCACTCCGTCTCCAGCCACGGCAGCTTCTCCTCTCCCAACTCCCGCTCGCCCCAGATCACCGAGGCCGAGCTTCTTGAGATGGAACGCGAGCGGATGGCCATGCAGCGCGAGGCCATGCGCTGCGTCATGCTCGAGAAGGAGCGCCGCCGCCAGCAAGCCCTCAAGCAGAAGCAGGCCCGTCGCAGCAGCTCCAAGAAGAGCCCCAAGAGCAAGTCCTCTGCCATGGCTCCCATCGCGGAGTGAAGCTCTCCAGCAAGCTGTGGCGGTGCGCCCAGCTCCCAGCTCTTACTTCGGACGAGCAACCTAGCTCGCTTACACAACACCTCAACCAACTCTAATCCCTAATGACGGCTCAACTGCAGCCGTGTCGGCGGCGACCACCAACCCGATCTACTCTCAAACGGTCCAGGTCGCCGGCCGCCAAACGCAAATCTCATCCTCGGCTTCCATCGAGGAGTCGACACAACGAACACTATCGGCTTTCGACAACCAGCATTCTGACAGCACGGGGCGATTCGGAAGACCGTGTGGGGGGGAGCACAAGCGAAGCCGACCGTGGGGGACCCGCAGCAGCAGCGTCTCAGCCACACTAGCACAAGCTGGGCGGTATCGGCCACGCACCGAGGAGTCATCCGCCTCGGGGAGGTGTGGCAGGTGAGGACAGGTCGGCTGCGCTGCCTCGTCGCAATGCAACCGAACCTGATCCCGGCATTTGATCGAGGGTGGCCTCGTGGATTCATCATGGGCGCGTAGGCAATTCACATGCCGCGCTGCCTTGGGTTTTCTTTTTTGTCTTTTACTCTTTCGTGTTGATACCCCCCGCTGTAGCCATCGAGGCTCGCAACTATTTTGTCGCATGGAGTTTATCACTGTTGATTTGGAGGAACATCATGGGAAAGGAGCACAGTACATGCTTGCATCACTGCATCGAGCTATGGGGGCATTCGGATCAGCATCGGAATATCATATCATCAGCGTCATGTTTTCTTCATTTAGTAGCTAGTCTTAGTTAGAGATACCCTTCGCCACGCGCGACACCAACATTTGAATTCTTATTCTACATCATCACAAAATATGCATTCTCATCGCAACGTGACAGATGATCTCAAGAAGCGGCCACTATTACTGCACACCCAACTGAATCTACTGATGCTTCGATAACGTCACACATTTGAAATCTTGATCTGTGAGACTCATCTTGAGGCCGCTGCAAGAGTCATAGTTGATCAGCATAGCCGTTAGCATGTGCCGCCGACTCGGTAAGTGCCTGCCGCTGGTGCGCACCCGCGCGCTGCTGGTGCTGACAAGTCAGCGAGCAGAAGCTCTAATTTACAGCGTGTGTGGTGTGTTGTAACTTGTGTGTGTGTGAGTGTTGGTTTGGGCCTGCCTTTGCCCTGCCTGGCAGAAGGTTTATCCTCATTAGCCACAGCGAATAATGTCGTCATCACCCGCGGCGCAGAGTTGGCCTCGACCAACTCCTCAAACGGTCGGGAACGGTCGGGGGAATAAGCCCTCCACCGCTGGGCGCCCTCTCTGTGGCTCTGCCATTCCGCGCTCCTCCACACGCAGAGTGAGTCCGTCCATTGTTATGCCGCTTGTTGCTCCGCAGCCTGCGCCTCATCCAATCTAGACCCTTTACCCATCGTAAATGGGCTTTCCCCGTATTTCCCTCCCCCAGGATACCGAGAGTTCGTACAATGGAATTTGTCCGCTGTTTCTATTTGTGATTTCCAACCACAAGAATTCCGGGGCTGGCATTCGTCATCCAGCCCTTTGCTGCGTGGCTGCGTCTGCTGGGCGGCCTCTGATGGCGAAAAAGGTTGAATGTTGCCTCGGCACCGCGAGAATACGAACAGCTTCGTCGTCCCTGTTTGTTGTTATTGTTGTGTCGGGATGTTGGGGCGTGGCCGTGGCGGCGGGTATGGGAAAGGCCGCGGTAAACTTACCAGCGACCGTTTGCGTCCGGCCGTCGGCTCTTTGCTACTAGTGTTCTGGGCCGACGCCATCTTCTTGGGGGGAGTTTGTCAACAAGTGTGCAGCTTGCGAGGATCGGGGTGGATCGGAGATCCCAAGGGCTCGGGTCCGCCACATCCTTGACCAACGGCCGTCGAGCTGTTGTTATTGCTGACCCGACCAACCAACCCAAGCCACTCAACCAAGCAAATCACGAAGCGTCTTCGGAAGCTTAGGGGGGGGAGGGAGTGTAATTGCATTGCAATGCCGTGAATGTTGCACTTTCGGCGACGTTGACCAGCGCAAACCTCGGGATGCCATGGATGATCTGATCTACCGAGGCGGCCGAGGATAGCAAAGTCTGGGGAGGGGAGCCCGACCGGAATGCAGATGCGTGATTGATAGGCATGCATGTCTTTGCCGATGACGGAAGAGCGGAGGGGATTGGCGATTTTGCGCCGATGCGGGGACGGGATGTTTCGGGAGGTGTTGATGAAGATGTCAAGGTCTTGGATTATCGCGAGCATCACTTTTCCTGGAGCGTTATGCGCGATGATCTGATATCGCGGTTTGAGTCAATCTCCCCGCATCACGGGCTGGTGGTCTCTTCCTGGGGAGAGAGGCTACCGTCTATCTAGATGAGAATCGAGATTGTGGCGTAGGCTTAGATAGAGATCGCTAATATCATGCCACCTCTTTTCTCACACACAGAGTGTTCAGCTGTAGACGTGAGACCTCAGCTGTGCGTGTTGTTCGAAGGGTGCCCTTCTGGCGGTCAATCTACGTGCGGCTCCGGAGAGTGTCAGCCGGGGGTGTTGTTGACCGACTTGAGGAGCCAAATGTCCCAGTGCACACATGCATGCATTCCTGACTCTTCCTTCCGGTCCTTGGATCATCTTCGACAACATACCCTCACCAAAAGGTGAACACCCCGAGAAACAAGCGCGTCTCGGTATCTTGCGTCGCTTGCATTATAAACCCGCTCACCCAAAAGTGTGTCTAGGTTCGGTTCTGCGAAACCGGTATTTTGCGTCAACAGAAGAATATGCGATCTTGCTCCGAACCTTGATTTCCTGCTGTCATTGACTCGAGCCATTCCGTCTGTAATCTTGTTGCCGGTAGGGCTGCGTAAGTGCGGGAGAGAACGGAGCACGGGTTTCCGTAATGGTGGTAAGCAGCTTGGCGGTAAACCCTCCCCGCATAGGCGGTAAAGGGCCAGCAGCTCACCTCAGCACGCGGGGTAGATTGCTCCGGTGATAGATAACGCGCGGGAGAGAGCCCAGAGATCTTCCGTCCGTTACCGACGAACCGTTGGACATTACGGCCGAGCTTCTGGCCTCCATGTGAATTGTGCAGGACAGGACCCGTCCGTCAGCGCGGTCCGCGGTCCCACAAAGGGAGGTGGCAGCGCGGGTCCTCTCAGTGCTTTCCCAACTTCCCAAATGTCTGGCCCTGCAGATTGTTTAGTCATGGTAATATCCGTTTTACATGCACCCCCTTTTGCGACCGTCGGGGGGGGGGGGGGGGNGGGGGGGGGGGGGGGGGACTCTCTGACCGCCTGGGTTCTTGGGTTTTGCGCTCAACCGAGCCGATGAGAGGATGATGGCGGGGTTCCTTTCCCCGCCGGGCCACCGTTTTCTTCTTCCTCAGTGTCCTGCGGGACGTTCTCGACCGCCAGAATGGAGAACAGGAAAAGGGTCCCTGCACCGGGATGGGGTCCCGGACGCCTGGGCCTCGTACAGATTGCCCACGCACCCATACCCATACCCATGCTCGACTCGCTCCGTCCCAAAGAGGGAACTGGGAAATTTGACAAAGAGGGATGCCCCGGCCGACCACCCAGGGCCAAACGTGTCAACCCCCGGGAGCGATCGTCCCGTCGTCGGGTCGAGGAGCCAGAGAGAGGGGGGTGGGTGATGAGTGAGTGAAGTGAGCTCTCGTGGCTCTGGGTCCGCAGTGTCCACTGTCCAGTCAACTCCTCTTTACCTTAGCCGGGCCTTTGGGCTCTTTTTCTCCCGGTGGAGCTCCCCAGTGGATGTTGATGGCTCTTGCGGCAGCAGGAGGAGGAGGAACAATGATGAGCTCCTCTCTCTGCAAATTTTTTCCACATGGAAACTGGGTCTTGCGGGATTAGATGCAGGGAACACTGAGGATGAGAAACACCGCTTGCACGAAAGAGGACGGTCGTTGAGAACAATCACAGGCGCAACCGGCCCTTCTCTGCAACGATTCGAGAGAAAAAAGCTTCATGCCAGAGCTAGAGCCCTAGGATAATGAGAGCCCGCATGCAAATTTGACATGCGGTATCCATCCGTCCGCCCAGCCTTCTTCTTCTTTCAAACGCGGTGCCTCTCCGAGGCTCTTCTTCGGCATTATCATTCGTGGAAAAGGACGATTCATGACCCACCCTATAGAAAATTCTTTTAAAATTCTTTTGCATGCTCCCCCGCGCGCGCGGTCCACGTCCCCTACACGCGGCACACACACACACACACAACACGGTACACGGTTAAAGTACATACACCAGCCATCCTCGACTCGGTGCCGCGACTCATTTACCGAAACGACACCGAGACGATGCCACATCCCCCGAAAACCATCGGAGCATGTCCGACGAACACCACCCCTCCTCCTCCTCATCCTCCCCCGCCGGTGTTTGTCCCGGCCGCACCTTTCTCGGTGGCTCATGAGTCGTGTGGCGCAGAGGGTGAGAGCTTCAACCTTGGAAGAGGCGCTCTGGACTCCGAAATAAGCATCCTGAAGCGCAATCTTCGCAATCTTCGTCGCGCAGAGGCCAGCACCCTTACGCAATCGTGCATCTCTTTTTCTTCTTCTTTTCTTCCATGTGAAATTCTTAAATTTTTCTTGTCAGGGTCCAAACTGAGTCGTGAGCCCCACGAATCGTCAAAGTGATCAGCCTAAAGACAGACGTCAACTATGACTTCAAATGACTTCATCTGGAGACACCGGTTTGAACAAAACCTTCTTCACCCTGTTTTCCAGGGCAACTTTCTTCCCGGCTGGCAAGACGATAAGCTAGCTAAACCAACCCTGCCAAGAGTGACGAGAAGTAGAAAATTCTTTTCTGGAATAGCATCGCGAACGGGAAGCCCACGCGGTTTGGCCACCCGCACAGACTCTTGACGGTCTTCCTTTTCCGCCCATCCTGAAGCATAGGCCCTTTCCCGTGGTGCGGCGTGCCTGACTTGCTTGGTGCTTTTCCTTGTGTCCGTCCTGACTAGCGGAAGAAAAACCTGGGGTAGAGGACTTCTTTTTTTGATGGGAGTTGA